GACTATTGGGTATTTATTCACGCATTTATTTACAGTTGTACAGGACTAGTGGTGATGGCGGTGTGCGCTGTGCGCGTAGCTGCATGTTACAATCGCAGAGGAAAAACGAATCGCCACATCATCATGTAGAAACTATTTATTTCAATCAACATCTATCATATAGTCTCTGGTGGGACACAATGTGCAAGACAAAACTGGATGATTTTTTCAAGTTTTTTCCTTGACTGATTTGGAGGTGAATAATTAACTTACCTAAATGGACAAGTGGTACCTGCATAGGGAATATTTGAACCAATTTTCAATTCTGTGTTACTATACCATAAAATTGATTTATTGTAGATCAGGTGTATTTATTCTGTACCACTATAACTGAAGACATTTTTAAGGAGAACATATTATCAGAATAACATAACAGGATTCACACTACAGCAAACAATTAACCCAAATAAATAACGAACACCTGGAGTGCAGTTAATAATAATTTATTTTGAAATGGTGTCTTAAAAGTCCAATAACAATAGACACATTCACAATAGCTTCCAACTGTAATACTATTGAATAACAATAAAATTTTCAGAGGATGCAAATTGAAAATATATTGGGTGCAATATTTATGTTCAGAGAAGCATCCTTTTAGATTAGTCTGGCATAAATGGCAACAATTACCGCTGGATCAATGCATACTTTATCATAGTTTTCTCCCCTTACACATTATCATAATCTCTTACCTATGAATGATGTTCTTTTCTGATTCCCAACTAACTCTTTTCAAACAGGATGAAATACATTCTTTTTCATCAATTATTAATTAAACAGCAGCAAATAAGTTACATCTACAACTATGCCATTATGAAAGACCTGTCTATTTTTCAGTTAAATCCATCAATGTGTATGTATTACAGCTGTCTCTTTTTTTTCATCCATCATTTACACATCACAAAAGCACCAAACAATTTCATTTACATTCATGTCTGTCAATTTTTGTGCTGTTTGGGCAAGGTACTTCACAAAACCTGGGAAGATATTCAACAAACGAAAACGTTCCAGCTAATCAGTGCCAATGTTTGAAATGATGGAATACTGTAAAATTTTCAATCAATTTTTATCATCATACATGAATTTACAAACTCCAAACTTTTCAAGTTCAAGTTTTCTGTTCAATTTTTCTATTTTGTCAACCTTTTCTTTGAGTTGCCTCCCCTGTTCATGTAAGTTTTGCTGGAGTTGTTCTATGTAGGACTGGGGTCAGTGGCTGCTGTATCACTCTCTGCTTCACAGTAAAATAAGCATTGTAAAGCATCAGTATTATCTCTTCGACCACACAAACAATAAATATATCTCTGGAATTACAAATATACATCAAGGAATAGAGGCTAAAATCATTTCATATTTTAGACAGTATGGGCAATCAATATTTTTATATGTAAATAACATAGCATATAGGTCAAAGTTCAGTTGTATTACATTCTTTAATGTTGGCAAAATTAACTTAATACGATCTGACATTCTTACTGTATCTGAGATGGTGACTGTGGTAGATTCCTTATGGGAGGTTCCTGAGCTGGTTACATGCTCTCTGACTCTTAATTAGCAGCATCTGAAATGGATGTTTAAACACTAAATATATTTCAGTTGGTGTAATTACATTGTCCAGTAATATGTCCTGTATCCCTGAAGTACTGGTCAGTATGCAGTAATTTTGAAAGTAGATACATATTCAAGATTTTTTTAACAGCATGTGTATGTCCTGCATATACAAATGTATGTCCTTCATATATATGTACTTGAAATGTTACTTTGATTTGCAGCCAATCTAATTTCACGGACACAGAATATTTGCAAATAAAATTCCCTTGCCATCATGACAAGAGTGTCTGCACATGTCGATATGCTTAATTGTTTTTAATATATTGGACCGTTCATAATTTATGACTAGGGGGGGTGATGATGATTTTAGGTGCAGTGTTTGTGGGGGTTGGGGTGTCTCCCAGTTTGTTTTGGGAGGCAGGGGGAGGGGTCAATTGTGTACATATGAACTAGGGGGGTGATCACTGATTTTGAACATGACAATGTGTGTGGGGGTGGGGGTGGTGTTTGAATGTGTCTGTGTGTGTGTGACATTCACATTGTACACGAGCCCCTGATATCAAAACCTTGCATAGTGAACAGTTTGTACATTACACGGCAGATCTAGACTATGACATGTGCCGTAATTATTTTGTACTTACTATGAATCATTTTCCAGGATCTCTAAGTATTTTCGTCAACCACTGCCTTCTTCTGATCTTATTCTTGGGAATATGGTGAAAAGATACCGTAAAATCCTTACGGGCATCACTCCAACGCAAAGGCACACAGCAGTAATCTTTCCTTTTCGAGGTCGCCATTTTCAAGGTGGGGTCAACCTATTTAAGCCTCGCTTTCGATTTGACCTCGAGGTCATGCATATTGGCTAAGAATGGTCTATTGCGAGTCATTTTTAATGTTGAGCGTATAACGTTATGCACAAGCACATAAACCCAATTTATATACACTTATATCGTTCAGATATCAGGCTGCATTTTCTTCGCTAACACTTTCCGTAAAGAGGCCACATTAAAAAATTCGTAGCACAGTGCTTTTATCGGTGCGCGATAAAAAGCGGATACATTTACTGTTTTTTAACGCATAACAAACTGTGGACAACATTTAACAGTGTCTATTTCTCAAACCGCCAAGGAAGTTGCATTTATATTTATACCAACGGATAGGAAATTTAATATTCTACATTTCTGTGTAATTTTATAGCCGTACGCAGATCCAGGACCACGCGAGCGCAATTCTCGCACAACGTTCACTTTTCAAAGCGTATGAAAATGTGCGCCTGAAAAAAAACTCGGCATCAAGGGGGTTAAGTGAAACATATCCACAAGGAACACCCGACCTTCTCACTGACTGAAGCGCTTTGTTTTGATTGACAGTTGGATCGGTCTATTTCTTACATAAACACGGATGTGACGTGGATGGAATTTGACTTAACTGATTTAATTAACTTTATGGTGTTTTGCCCACATCCGACAGGCTGTTCTTCCTACAATGCTGGATTATGTTAATGATTTTTTGCGTTCTGATATCTATTGTATAAAAATTCCATTGATGAGGGGTTTCTAATTTTTTTTACCGTAACACGTGACAGAATTCTGGCAACAATAGGCATCAACAGGCCTCACACTTTACGCATGTCACTGAAGCGACGTAATTCTAAAGCTTGTAGAGGTGTAGGTGCATGTCGACTAGGGGTACAATACTTGGACCCTGTACTTTTCCTAATAAAATCACACGTCTGTTTGAATATATGTTAGATAATGGGTCTGTTGAGAATATACCACACCACATTAATCTTGGCGTGGCGTCTGGCAGCCGGACAGTATATCATTATCAGGCTACAATAGGCCTGGCTCACAAGCGGTTGATCCGTTCACGCAGTCAGGCGCCAAAATATGACCGACTCTACTTGCCACGTCATAGTGACGTCATAACTAACACCTTCTCGGTGTGGTGTCGCCAGTCAAAGGCAGTTCATGACTGACACTAGAAGTGTATGACTTGTGCTGAGCGTGATGGGCGGGTGAGTTACTGGTTTCTACTTTACACTTATTGTGAAAATAACATGGATCCAGAAATTGGGAATAGAGTAAGATTGATTGACAGTATATGTTTACGTAATGCCCCTGCCTGTCTTCACACAAAGTTTACCCAGACCACACTGGCCTGTATCGGAAACAAATGGCGGCGACAATATATATACATTCATGAGCCAACATTGTTTTAATTTTTACCGATCGGCGGAATGCGAGACAATTTTGGCACATGTGTGAACCTTGATGCCAGGTATATGCAACACAGACGTGATGGTTAGGCCGAGAATAATTTGGTAGACGAAGCTTCATGCCACACGACGAGGTCCATGACTACAGTATAGGCTTTCTCACATTACAGTTCCGAAAATGTGTGGAAAAAGAGTAGAATTCTGCAGCAGTTATTTTATAGAATGACGAGGTATAACAGTCGTAAGGGCACGTGTGCTGGATTCTCCTATTATCTGACTGACTGCAAAATAGACCATCGCAGCATCGGCGTCCATCACACGGACAATCACAATATCAACCCTTGTCACCACACAGACCCGTGCCACTTATATTGGGCCACTTGATGTAATTTCCATAGACTTACATGTTATTTCAGTGTAGTATACATAATCTAGATCTAGACCTACTGCACTTGCGTACTCTGCAAACAAAACACATATGTATGTTTTGCCGTTAGGTTAGACATAGTGCTGTTTACATCTATCGTTATAATTGCCAATTTGTTTGATGTCGTACGGCTAATTTTAATTTGAATTTAGCAATTTACCCAACCTGCCTGAAACTGTTATGAACCCAAGAAACACTGCATCCCTACAGACTAAAAAAAACCCATTCTTCCCAGAACACGTGGTCGTGTCCTTCTCATTCTACCAACAATCCATACAATCAAACAAATATGCTAATCAATCCAGACTGAGGTAAGGTAGATGATGTAATTCCTCCTGTTCCAATACAACTGCTTCACATCTCCAGTATTGTACTGTATTGAAGATATGCTTTTCTTGCGTGTCTATCCAGTGATCCAAAACTGTTAATGCTTTTTAGTGTCTAAACTTATGTTACTACACAACTTAAAACTGTAATCAACAAATTCCACATAACAACAAAGAGAGACAATGTATCTGGGTAGGTAAAAACAAAGACGCTGTATAGCTTTATGACACTTGGAAGCTATGAACGTTAGCACATGTAATAGGATTCTGAAAGTGTTTTTCTTCCAACAGTCTAAATTTGAGTTGTATTGAGAGATTTACCCAGGATACAAAACTATTAGACATCTCTGATAACAAGTCGGTATTTTATTCAGTGGAAAAATGGAAATCAGTGATACTTTTAACATCATATTTAATAACAGCCCATGCCCTGTTTCAGTCTGGACTGGTCGGAATCCACTGCCCCAAGTGACCACAGGAGAGTCTGATATACAGGGTAGGTGGGAAAACACAGCCGGTGCTAGCTCTCCTTAATCTGGGAACATGTGTTTACTATGCTATGATAAGCGTGCATACTTTAATTCTAACTCAACATAGGCTATTTGTTGTATACCTGGCCAGTATTTGTAATGCTATTGTGCTCTATATAGTTCACTAAACAGGCTATTTGTTGTATACCCGGCCAGTGTTTTGTAATGCTATTGTGCTTTATATAGTTTTACTAAACAGGCTATTGTGCTCTATATAGTTTACCCAAACAAGCTATTTTTTGTATACCTGGCCAGTATTTGTAATGCTATTGTGCTCTATATAGTTCACTAAACAGGCTATTTGTTGTATGCCTGGCCAGTATTTGTAATGCTATTGTGCTTTTATATAGTTAACTAAACCTTGGGCTATTTTTTGCTCTATATAGTTTACTAAAAAGCTATTTGTTGTATACCTGGCCAGTATTTGTAATAACTATTGTTGCTCTATATAGTTCACTAAACAGGCTATTTGTTGTATACCTGGCCAGTATTTTGTAATGCTATTGTGCTTATATAGTTTACTAAACAGGCTATTGTCCTCTATATAGTTTACTAAACAGGCTATTTGTTGTATACCTGGCCAGTATTTGTATTGCTATTGTGCTTTATATAGTTTGCTAAACAGGCTATTGTGCTTTATATAATTTACTAAACAGGCTATTGTCCTCTATATAGTTTACTAAACAGGCTATTTGTTGTATACCTGGCCAGTATTTGTAATGCTATTGTGCTTTATATAGTTTACTAAACAGGCTATTGTCCTCTATATAGTTTACTAAACAGGCTATTTGTTGTATACCTGCCCAGGATTTGTAATGCTATTGTCCTCTATATAGTTTACTAAACAAGCTAATGTGCTCTATATAGTTTACTAAACAGGCTATTCTCTGTTTCAGACTCCACTGATCCCAGTCAGGGTGGGAGCAGAGACAGACCATCTGCTCCCAGGGGGCCAAACCAACGTCTTCTACACACGGTAGGTGGGGGAGAACACAGCAGGTGGTAGCTAACCCCTACCCTACTAACAAGTTGATAGATAGACGGTAGGTGGGAGAACACAGCAGGTGGTAGCTAACCCCTACCTAGTAGCAAGTTGATAGATAGACGGTAGGTGGGAGAGAACACAGCAGGTGGTAGCTAACCCTACGCTAGTAACAGGCTGATAGATGAGACAGTAGGTGGGAGAACACAGCGGGTGGTAGCTAACCCCTACCCTACTAACAAGTTGATAGATAGACGGTAGGTGGGAGAACACCAGCAGGTGGTACCCTAACCCCTACCTAGTAACAAGCTGATAGATAGACGGTAGGTGGGAGAACTTACAGCAGGTGTTAGCTAACCCCTACGCTAGTAACAGGCTGATAGATGGAGGCGGTAGGTGGGAGAACACAGCAGGTGGTTGCTAACCCCTACCCTGGCTAACAAGTTGATAGATGATAGGCGGTAGGTGGGAGAACACAGCAGGTGGTAGCTAACCCCTACCTAGTAACAAGTTGATAGATAGACGGTAGGTGGGAGAACACAGCAGGTGGTAGCTAACCCCTACCCTACTAACAAGCTGATAGATAGACGGTAGGCGGGAGAAACAAAGCAGGTGGTAGCTAACTCCTACCTGTGTAACAGGCTGATAGATGGAGCGGTAGGTGGGAGAACAAAGCAGGTGGTAGCTAGCCCCTACCTAGTAACAGGCTGATAGATGGGCGGTGGGTGGGAGAACACAGCGAGGTGGTAGCTAACCCCTACCTGGTAACAAGTTGATAGATGGGCGGTGGGTGGGGGGAACACAGCAGGTGGTAGCTAGACCCTACCCTGGTAACAGGCTGATGGGACAGACCCGGTGGGGTGGGAGGGGAACACAGCAGGTGGTAGCCAACTCCTACCCTAGTAACAGGCTGATAGACAGACGAGCAGGGTGGGAGAACACGGCGGGCTAACCCCTACCTAGTAACAGTGCTGATAGATGGGCGGTGGGTGGAGAGAACACATGGGTGGTAGCTGGCCTACCCACAGTAACAGGCAGATAGATAGAGCGGTAGGTGGGAGAACACAGCAGGTGGTAGCTAACCCTACCCTATTAACAAGGTGATAGACCAGACGGTAGGTGGGAGAACACAGCAGGTGTTGGCTAACCCCCTACTAGTAACAGGCTGATAGATGAACGGTAGGTTGGGGGAGAACACAGCAGGTGGTAGCTAACCCCTACCCTACTAACAAAGTTGATAGATAGACGTATCATCGGGTGAATGTTCATGAGATGTGAAGTCACTTTGGGCTGTCAGGATCCGGCTCCGTCATAAAACAGACGCAGTGAAGCCCAGTGTAATATGCTTATATCTGTCCACCAAACATGGGTACTCTCCAGCCAAACACAGGAGGTATTATTGATAGAAAGGCTTATTTTAGCTTAACAAACAATCCTTCATTACATTAACCAGTTGTCGTTCCCCACAAGTGTTCATTGGAATTGAGCAAATAAATGCATCTATGTCCATGTCTTGTATCAACACTCTGTGATGTAAACAGTAATACACAACGCAGATGTCCCAATGTGTTACACAGTTTACTTTGTGTTACAGCGACTCCATCACAAAGCAGGCCCCACTGACCTCTACTACTACTACGCCAGCAGGAGCGGTGACCTGGAGGAGGTGAGGCGGATCCTGTCAGCGGGTCACGCAGACGTCCAACAATGGGGATGGAGAGCAGCAGAGACACCGGTGATGGAGGCAGCACACTGGGGGACACAAGGGATAATGGTGGAAGCTCCTTGTGAGTCCGAGGTGCTGATAATGTCACTGGTGGACGATAACGGTAACAACTTACCCTTACGGCTGGGCCTGTGTGGGAGGGAGACAGGAAGACAGTGGAGTTTGTCCTGTCTCTGGACGGGGGTGGACATCAACAGTAGAGAGGACGGTGGAACAAGACACACACCGGTGATGTGGGCAACACTAAGGGGGGACCTACAGGGATAATGGTGGAGTTCCTTGTGAGTCCGAGTGCTGAGTGTGTCACTGGTGGACGATAACGGTGACAACATCCTTCACTATGGGCCTGTTGGGGAGGAGACAGGGGAGACAGTGAAGTTTGTCCTGTCTCTGTGGGCGGGGTGGACGTCAGCATACTGGAACAACCATGCAGGCGAGACAGCGACAAACGTGGCGAGAGGCAGGCGAGCATCCTCAACTGTCCGGATCTCCTGGGGTGTCACGTGGTGGACACTGAAGTCAGTGTGGTGTTGGTGTAAGAACGATCATGGGTACATGTCATTACGGCTGACACTGACGTGGTGTGCTGACGTTCACACGTCATCGTGTTTATATTTCAGCATTAAGGTGAGGATGTTTGGGCATGTATGTTAGGAAAATAAAACTTTTAGCTGAAACATTTTTCGAATATTTTTGTCATTTGTTGTGTTTTGGAACTTGATCAGGTGAGTGTAAATACAAAAGATCCTAGTAATTGGTATGGCCAACACGGCATTTCATGTGTATAATTTCTACGTAAATCATTTGTCATGACATGTTTATGTTCATTAGTTTGTAATTAATCACACAATAGACAACAACAAACGGTTTTGTTTTTGCATCTCGCTGCACTCTGTGACCTCAGAGTGCAGCGGTTCTATAGAAGATTTGGCGCTCAACGTACTGACAGTGACGTCACACTACTGATGACGTCACGGCACATTGCGGCAGGGTCTTACACTAGTCCCTGAATGCCGAGATTTGTTGCTGACGCGCATTTTTAATAAATTCTAAAGGGTGAAAGTACAGCGAAATGTTTTAGCTCGCGTGGCACTGGATCGGCCTACGGCTACAAACGATACACGAAATATGAAGGATTCATTGCTGTCAGAGTTGTGGAAGTTCGAGTCCGGAGTAGCGGTGGGTTTGAGGCTACACTTGGCTGGTTGAGGCCCCGCGGACGGATTTTCGAATATGGCGGCTGGATGGTCATTGAGTTGATGTTGATGTTGTGGCTTGCGGTTGTCTTCGGCTGAAAGCTTCTTCGATATTGAATTTTCGGATATGAGGTTTTGTTTTCTTTGTTTTGGATCACGATGGTCGGACGTCGACTGTAAATCGCTGGATCTGCCTGCGGTTGTAAGATTGCGCAGAGGTAATGAGATGTTGCGTTTCGCGATGTATCGTTAGCTCGGTGCGAGTAGCATGCGGTTTTGGAAAATGGGCGCTTAACAAATCTTGATGCGGGTACGTTTAAAGAGCGGGTGAAGTTTTAAGCATCGTTGCGCGGATAGCGCGTGGGCGGTTTATTTCAGGCATTGTTTCGGGTGTGGTAAGGTGCACCGGGTATCGGCATTTTTGGTTGGTCGTCATGAAACCATGAAGTATTGGGGTGGTTAGTTATTGGTTTGCATTTTAGTTGTTCTGCCCATGTGGAAATCGAACTCGGGATATTTCGTGGGCGAGGCGGACGCTTGTGCATTGAATGCCGATTACTTTGAAATCTTGACACGAGTCGTTTTGGAAGGAATTGGACGTGGATAGGGACATGGAACGTTCACGATGAACCATTTTATTCCTGTATCCCGCATTGTAACTGCATGCGTTTTGGTGAATCACCGTTACTGAAATGTGAAATTATACAAAATGTGACATCACGTAATAGCGAAATAGGTAGCCCTATCCAATATGTAAGTCGGATTCTTGTAGAAATATTACACGCAGTTTTATTTATTTTGCACCGTATTAACCGAAGTTCTATGACAAATTTCACCTTATTATGTAACTCGATGCTCATGCTATTATTGATCACAAGGTATTTGGTCCAGACCCATTGTTACAGACCGCAGCCATATAAGCTGGAATATTGCTGGAGTGCAGCGTTCGCTCCGCTCTTTCAAAAAACAAAACATCAATCGTTTCAGTGATATACTGTCACTATCGTAGATGCACGATTCATGGTACATATTTTCGAATCTCAAATCATCCTGAACTTTTCTTTCGTGTTGTCGCCATGATAGAAAATACTGGAGCCTTCCTGTCCATGCGGCAAGTGTTACCCCGACCCAATCACAATATCCCCGTATTGCTGATGGATCGTGAGTCCCCGGAAGTGACACATGTCGTCATTATCCTGCTACGTAGTTCGCTGCTTTCATGTTGCTGCTAACTGGATTGTCTGGTCAGACTCGATTGTTACAGACCGCCGCCATATGTATATCTATGGCTTGAATACAGCTCAGTGCGGCGTAAACCAACAAACTAACAACCAATCTCAAGTATACAATGAGAAAGAAAAGCTCCTTGTGTTTGGGACTATCAGAATAATGTAGGTTGGCCGAAAAGGAAGACATGGCAGGTTGATATATGTTTTAAATTCTTGTCGAAATATAGTTACTGTCTATTGTCATGACAACATCCTGTATATAAAATGTCATTGATTATATCATAGAAACATGGCGAGTACATGATAAAACGATTGTCAAGCGTGCACCAGCCAGTCATCATACGTATTGTTCTGTGTATAACGGCATAAACAATTCCATAACCAAGACAATTCGTAAAAACTATGTGCATACATTTGATAAAACATATCAAACATTCTCTTAAATTATCATTGTAAGCACATATAAGATTAAATTAAAATTGATGTTTATTGACCTGCCGACGTAAAATCACAATACAGATATTGCTGTCACGGAACTGGTGCGATACGCCAACGCCTTCTACGGCACTTCGTATAAGGTATTAAATATGGTGTACTGCGGCGATGACTAGATTTCTTATGAAAACAAGAAAAGCTTTCGGGGATGCAATCGCGTGCCTATATCGGCGATTGGTGGTTAGCACGTTGAACGATGGTCTTGGACCGGACGGTCGGTTGGCGGCGGCGGCGGGCGGCGGGCTACGTTACGTACGATGCGCTCGCGATTGACGATTGATAGAGTTGCTTGCGGTTGAAGACTCAATCCAGTCGGCAACGCGAAGTTTAAAGGATGTATCACGGATCTGGTATGCCGTAATCAGGCAAATACGGTGTTGACATTGATGTTTTTGTTTTTATTGTTTTCTTTTTGTTTAACGCCGCTGCCCGGCAATATTCAACTTATAACGCGTCGCGTAATGAACAAATACTGTGATCAATAACGCACAATAGGTGAAATTGTCGTAAACTCGGTTAATAATGATTGCAGGCGAAGCTGCGTTAATGTTCTGCGAAACTGACGCATGTTGGATGGTGCCCGTTCGCTTTATTACGTGATCGATGCATTTGTATAATTTCGGCATTTCATAAACCATTTTGACGATTCTTACCAAAAGAACGTATGCGATTTAATATTCGGATAGCAGAATAAAATGTTCATCGTGAACAAAAACTCGTATCGGTCCATTATGGAACATAAATTGACGGAATTGATGGTATTAATGATCGTCACCAGAACCGGTTCATTCCATGAGTGCGGTGAACGCCAAAAGCGGCGAAACCACTTATACCCGTATATGAACGACAAAAATGTTGATATTCGATAATTTCATTTGAACGCTGACTTTGATAACATTGACGCGTAAAGCGCATGAAACTTCAGGCAAATTGCAGTCATCTATTTCAAGCCGCATATAATTTTCGAATAACTATAAAACGAAAATATAATATTCCCATTTCAATGTATTACTAACCGTCGTCAATGATACGGCGACTCTTATGAAATGCGTCAGCGCTCATTTTATCAAACCCTATTTTCGAGAAGCTCTCTGCCCTTCTAAGGAACGGCA